TTTTAAGGCTTGCGGTGGATCAGACCCGACTTCTGTAGACCACCTCGAGCGTGGCGAGACGCAAAGCAATGGAACGTGATTGCGTGCTTTCCTGTCCGTTGGAAGGTGTCTACTGGCCGGCTTCAAAGCGATATACATTCCCCGGCCGGCCTTCCGCATTAGTCGGCTCCAGTTGTTATCTTGTTAGAATTTCTCGGCCTCACACTGAGAAGCCATTACTCCGCCGTTTGAAGTTCCAGCCACCGGGGCAACGTCTCCGAGCTCGCTAACTACCGTACCTCTTCCCCAGTCGCTGCTCGGCCCTTCCTCGTTATTGCGTCGTGATGAAGCCCATAAATACGCTTCTTTTACAATTCCCAGAGCCATCAGCGCCGATTTCACAGGCTCCGTCTTCTTAGAAGAGTCAGTAGGGAAAATTCGGCGAGTGGCAAAGTTTGGCAAACATTTTTCCAGGCTCTGCAACACTTTCTCAAGACTGAGATTTTCTTTTTTTTAATGTTTATCATTTCTAACCCATTCAAGCTGTACACCACCCAAATTCTTACCAGCAATGTTCAACCCTGATGAAGGAGGTCCATTACACCCTCCCTACCAAAATGCGTTAGTTTGTCCGCTCAAGCTGTGGACCAATTAGATTCTTAGCAAGACTTTTCAACCCTGATGAAAGAGGTCCATTAGAACCCTCCTATCAAAACGTGGCATATTGTTCTTACAAGCCAGAGACCACTCAGATTCTTACCAACAAAGTTCAACCCTGATGACGGAAGTCCATTAGTTTCTCTGATCAATGTTTATAAACAATGTTACTTTGTATCTCTCTATCTCCCTCTGATCAATGTTTATAAACAATGTTACTTTGTATCTCTCTATCTCCCTCTGATCAATGTTTATAAACAATGTTACTTTGTATCTCCCTATCTCTCATCTGAACAATGTTTATGAACAGTGTGCCAGGCAGTCAGGTCAGACCGTCTGACGTGAATGGGGCCTAAGGGTGGGTTTGTGTGTGCTCAGATGTTTACTCTCAATGTTCAGTGTTTAAATGATGAAGAGCAGAAATAGAAACAGTCCCCGGCATTACCCCAACTCATTCTCAAAGCAGCTCTACGGGATAGGATAAATGATCTGCATTTAGCCTGCGAACAACCTGCCGTTTACTCTTCTGCCTCATCGCCTTCATTTCTTCTCTCCCCCCATCGCAGCGCTGTGAATATGAGCGCATCTTTCAGCATGTTATATCATCTTTATTACAGTCTCCCGATACCCCCATCCTTCCAGTCGATAGCGACTTAGGACTAACAGGGGTTTTTTGCTCCCGCAGGGAGCCATCGCCGGACCCTTATATTTGCACTAGACTACGGCAAGTAGCGGAATCCGCTTCCTCTCTAAACGCAGACGCATCCACTGTTGCTGCAGGACCTCGCCTCGCGCTTATTCTCTTTCGCATGATGATTATTCAACAGATGTTGTCTCGTCCTGAGGGGACCTTTTATTATTCAAAAATGATTTCCGGCCAAAGCGAAATATTTTTTTTTTTGTTTGTTACCAGAACCGACGAGGGAAAGATGTTTTTTTCTCCTATTTCCTGCCTTAAATATGAAACAATTAAAAACGCAGAATGTGCCTTGAAGTTCATTTGAGCCCTTTTCGCCGAGTGTTTTACTAAGAACGCACATGAGGGGTCAGGCACGGGACCCATCTGCTTGTGTATTGCTCAGCTTATTGGTGAACTGGTCTGTTCTGGTTTGGAAAGTACCAGCAAATTGGAATAATTGGTCCGAGGATACATGTAGCAAAAGTATTGTGCAAAGTGCGGAACATATACTACCGACTATGCTCACTTTAGGGCAGACAGGTCAAAATGGTGATTCTTATGCTGCTTTAGGCTCTTCTGTGCTTTTCGTGCTGCTGTTGCCCAGTTTAACAAAGCTGAACTCTGGGTTCAGAAGATATTGTCCTCATACAAGAGTCCTGTGTATTCTTCTTGAATCTTGGTGAGTTTTGAGTATTTCTTCCAGATCTGTGCAGTAAACCAGTGTGGGACGTGGAGCTTCCTGTAATAAAGACCGCTCACTCCCGTTCTCTCTCATTGTGCAGGGTGACTGGTCTCGTCTCTGTGACGACACGGTGATGAGTTTATTAATTTAAATGTGTATTGGTATTGAGTTATGTTTGAGTGCGTTATGCTGTGTGACCTGGTTATGGAAAGACTATCAGCACCATTCCTCGTTATCTCCCATTGTTCTCTGAGGGAGCTCAGAACAATGACATTCTGGCCAGGCTCCTGCTATGGCTGTCTGGAGTTCGTTAGCAGGTGGACACCTGTGGTGTTGAGCAGACCGATTGTCTGGGAGGGGGAGGGGGATGTGATGGGATTATATTCTGATCTCATCACTTGCTGTATAAAAGTTTGTGCAGTTGCTCAATAAACCAGAGTTTGTTTCACCTACCCTCAAGCCTTGGTTAGTGACTGGGGAAACTGGGAGCTACAGATCAGCGGGTTCCAATATCTCCTCAGCAAGGAAGAAGACAGCGGCGGACATACTCATCCTGAGTACGGGGGTCCGTCACAGTCTCCACCCCCTCCTGTAATAAAGACCAGTCACTGCTGCTCTCTACCTTTGTGCAGGGTGACTGGTCTTGTCTCCGCCCCCTCCTGTAATAAAGACCGCTCACTGCTGCTCTGCCTTGTCCCGATCCCGCCGAGAAGCTCACAGGGCCAATCACTGGCACTGAGACATTTCCTGATCTCTGCAGCTGCGTACCGGGTACATGTTTGGCGCCGCGCGCTGACAGCTTCTTGGCGGGCTCGGCACGAGGCGCTTGCGAACACGCCCGAGCCCATCACTACTCAGCATGTCCGCATTAATAACCACAAATTAAAAAAAAAGAAAAAAAAAGGAAAACTTCAGGTGAAGCAAAGTTCAAGAGTCTTACATGGCAACCGCCGGGATTTTCTCCCGTGCCGATCAGAAAAATTCTGCGCTCGTATAAACTCTACCAACCGTACAAATGCTCTCTGTCAACACTTTGCCGTGCAGTAAAAATGCCATCCAGCGTGCAGCCCGCCCTTCAATCGCATCGCGAGCAGCCATGTTAATTAAAGGATCGCTCAGAGAACCCTTGTGAAATAAGCCGCCACGGAAGCTCATGCAAAAGAAAAAAAAAAACCACACGAGGCAGAGTGATGTCGCTATGGCCAATTGAGCACGTTTTAGATGGCTTTTTCCAGATAATTGCCTCGCCTATCTGCCTCCCAGTTAACCAGCTGCACGGTGGAAGTGGCTATCAAAAGGAAATTGAAAGAAAACAAAAAAAAAAAAAAAA